CCAGCCAGAACGTAAAGACCAATGTAAATGTTTCAAGTCCAGTTTGTTCAGCTGCATGATTCTCAAACGGTAAAATCTACGAAAATTTACTGCTAGCAATCCGTTTTGCTGTATTTCAAACATTTTCCGAAATCACCCTATTCGCGAAACGGATCCTACAGTTGAGTAGAAAAGTCAGTCTTTTTGAATTGAAAAACTATCAAAAAAGTATTCTATTGCACCCGCCAAGAAAAAGCTTGATCGAAAAGCTCTACTAAAAGGGCACCACTTCTCGACACCCTTGATATAAGATATTAGAATGCATGAAGTACCTGTGGCGAATTCATCCAAAATTGTGCCCCCTCCCCCCTCCCCCCCCGCACGTGTGAAATTACTAACTATCACCACTGTCATCCAGAAGTCCCCTATTGAGAGGTGTCAGCCATTCGTACCTCACAAAAAACGCCCAGCTGTTTGCGATGGCAACCGCCTGGCGCGGATCTTTGTTAAGACGGGTGACCACTTCGGCGATTGTCGCACACGATAACGAGTCGAGCGCTTTCACAAAACGTTCACTGAATCGCGATCGTCGTGTTAGGTACAATCTCCCAGTCATCGAAAGGTACTCTGCCATTGACTTTATCTGGAAACCAGTTTTCGGTAGTTCAAGAAATGAAGAAGAAAAGATCTGGAAAACTACCATTAACTCCAGAAAGAACCAAGCGTTCAGAAACGCCATTTCCCTGGCACAACCGCCACTACGGACCCACTGCTCGGCTAATTCTTCATGCACCGCCTTATTGGACGTGCTGGGCACCGCATCAACTGGGACGCGCTGGTGGTGCGCACTCAATTTCTCAACGTCTTCTGAAAAGAAAAAGTGAAGTGGCAGTTATGAAATTAGGAGCAAAAATCTGTTACTGTAAAGGAAACAGACCAATGATATGGTAGAGCTTCTGAGTTTCCGGGGAGCCAGGCTTGTTCTTCTCGGCGGCCATATCCTTACACAGCTGCGATCTCGCTTTCGACTCTTAAAAACTTTTTGATCACGCTTCGCCCAACTAAGTCTATATCAAGCTATCTGAGAGTGAGCTTACCAAAGCTGGAAGAAAAAGCAAACACTGAAGATTCTAGTGTTGCAAAACAACAGGGAACAACCTATGATGTATGCAAGAAATTTAGCGAATTTCATAGATCAAAAAGAGGGCGGTGTAGCAAATTCAAAATTATGATGTATCAGAGTGTGCCTCAAAAAGCTACTTTCGCCAGAAAGGGAACACAGTGACCCAAGGATCTTTCCGCCTGTGGTAGAGACCGTTGAGAATTATTTACATGGATTCAAACAAATGGAAATTGACAAAACAAAATGCACCCTAATGAACATCCACACCGCAATATTCAGAAAAAGACAAATCAACACTGAACTGAACTAACTGCAACAAACCTTTCATGGCTATTTTGTAGTAGTGCACATAAGATGTCAGAAGCGCACTCCGACCGTGCATATCTAAGCATGAGTCTAACAACATGGTACAGATTTTCACCAGCTGTCCCAATGTCTCAAAACATGCGCTTGATAATGCATCTGGAAGGAGAAACTTTTGTCATTTCTCTCACTGTTATTTTTCAAGGTGTACAAAATTACCTGAGTAAAGGTTTATTTGCAATCAGAGCGATCAACTTGTCCAGCACATTATACATAAAAGCAACCATTGGTTCAGGACGTGCTTTGATGACACTCTAAAAACTCTAGTTTCGACTCGGTGGGTGACAATATTTAACGGTGACAGAAGTTTTCCAGTAATTAAATCATATTCGAGCACAGGTTGGATTAAGGTGGCTGCCAGGTAAACACGGAAGCTTTCCACTGTGGCAGGGACATAAAAGATGGAAAAAAAATGGGACCATCGAATAACATGTATGAGAATGCACCCGCTATCAATACATAAGTTAATTTTCCCAATTTTGGAAATGTTCACCTGACATACTAGCAAATGGTGCAATGACAAGATACGTTCCCTAATACGTGCACGCGGTAGAGGTTTCAAAATCTAATACACGAATAGCCTCCCTTCCGATGTCGATTAGTTGCACAACGATAGTTTGGAAGGACAGAAAAGCTGAATGTTAAATCGGCAGCACCGGAAGGTCATTACTGTACCAAATTGCACGGCACTATCAGAAAAGTGTGGCGCATCCCAAAAGGACTGATCAACCCCGAGTTATTTTTTAGCCATTCAAGCATAATTCGTAAAAGAAACCAGAAGTTGTTGTAACGGCGTGAACTTACGAAAAAAAAACAATTGAAAGAAGCTGAAATGTTTCAAACCTGTGCAGCAGTAATCAGCGCTATTTCACTTGCCGGCGGCTTCCTTCTATCTGTAGATGACAGAGAATTTACGGCAACGAGAAACCTTTCCAAATGTTCATCCTTCAAAAGTGGGCAATTCAAGTAGTAACAAATAAGGTGAGCTGCTCGCAAATCCGTAATATTACGTCAACCAACCTGAGGGTGAACGGTACTTATGGCTTTGATGGTTACATTGAAGACAGGCTTATGGCCGTCAAGCCACCGAACATTCGGAAGAGCGACATCCGGAGAGAGGTACCCATAACTAGAGGGAAGACGATCGAGACATATTGGAAGGTTGAAGTCTCCCGTTGACAATCGACTGTCTCTTAGAAGGGGCAGCCACTGAAATCATCGAGAATCCGTAAGAGCAACTAGAACACAGAGCTGTGTAAACGGTTGAAACGAACACTGTATCCGATCGGATATTCAGTTTCTTCGTCCTTGTTGTTCGATTTACAAGATATGTGATAGAAAGTAAACAATAAATGATGCCCGTCATCCAAATCCACCGGTATTCGAAGTTTAATCTCATCTGTGATGTGAGGCGTTCTGCAATACAAAGATTCGAGTCTTACCAGATCCAATAAAATGGAGGAAAACAGTTTAACACACAATAAGGCTCTTTACTCACTTGTTGTGATAAATAACAGCAGTCCTCGCCACCGATACCATATCTGAACCTGCACCCCTGGAGTATAATACTCGTAAAGGTTGTTCTTGCGCGTTCATCAGTTCCACCTTGATTGAGATATTCCGTGCTGTACCAGGTCGATTTGTGAGGTTAGCCGATTTAGGGTATATGTACATCAAGTTCCTAAACCATAACAATTAATGTAAAACTCCATAGTAACGTCGACGACGTGGAAAACCAAGCCTATTGGCCGTCAACAAATAGAAATAGAATAATTGTAAAATTACGAAGCAATTTTTAACAGGGGCAGGGAGTACCTACGAGATGCGCTTCGGAATGTGCGATTCAAATACACGAAAATAATTATGGCATCAAAATAGACTCACCGATAACTTGTATTGGCCATGTAGAAGCCTTTCGCGGGGAACTCTTGGATGTCTTTAGTGAGCTCAGTGCCGGGTCCTCCACTGAAGGGGGCAACACGCAACATTTCCGGACTGATGAGCCGCATCAAGAGCTCTCACCAGTCCCTCCTAAAATTTTCGTCATGACCATCGAGAGACCGAAAATCCAGGCTATTTCGATTAACTCTGCCGAAGGAGAGCGACGAATATTGACTTCCAGAAGAAATAGCACTTTGCCCTCATGACCCATTCTAGACGTAAAAGACATAATAACGTAGGTGGGTTTTACAACATCGAATACAATCTTGCGCACTTCTGTACGACTAAACTTATCACAAACTAGAAGTTGACAGTAGATACCCCAGAAGAGCATGAATCATTTCATAAACCATAAAAGCTAACCACTGCTATTTTAAGGTTAATAATGAAGCTAAAACGCTTTTGTAATTCGGTCGTCCCGAAGTACCGGTCGCATAGTGTTCGATACGTATTGATCATCCGACGGTCTGGTCAGATTGGGCGAACAATACTCATCTAATGCTGTGGGATCGTTACGATCGGACGAACGAACTATATAACCGTGCTAACTGAAGAGTAGGTGGCGGTTAACTCACCAGACAGTTGTAATCCCATATCAACCGCGAACGTTTTCAAACGCGACAGCTTTCCGCCGGGACGTCGAGCGTCAGCTAACAACTTGTACAAATCCTCGTCACTTAACCTATCAGCCTCCTACAATAAAGATTATTAGAAATGAGTAGTCTCTTGTTTGAGAACTGTGTGCTTACGTTACCTGTCGAAAGAACGAATTCAGGTTAAGAGTGACAGGCTGAAGATTAGCCAAGTTCAACTCTATAGATTTTCCTGCAGAAGAACCATCAGGAGTGGTGGCATCGTCACTGCCTAAACGAAGCATACTTAGGAAAGGCGGCGGAAACAAACTTTATTTCACGCTGACCTCCTCCTCCTCCCAAAAATTTGCGCCGCTGAAGTGGAGTGCGCACGCGACTAAGCACTGCAGCCGCCGATGACCCACTTCCCATTCGTCGAAACGTCGATGTGGAAGTATTTGACATTCGGTCAGCACTGACTATGCTATCAGTTTCTGCAGCGATACATGCTAACGGGGCCATTGCCTCGCCTGAACAAATAAAAGAACTCTAATTACTGAGAAAGCAAATATAAAGTAAAATCAAAACATTGGTATAGGCTTCAAAATCTGTATAAACAAATCCTGACAACTATATCAATCAATCCCACCTGCTGCGGTGCCAACAGATCCCGTAGTCATTGTCGACATACACATCTCCGACCGTTCCAGTGTGTTCACACCCATTAGCACCTTCTGTAGATCGAGGACCATGAATCCGAGAGGCATTCGGAATGAGCCTGAATGATGGGTTAGTCAATGCGTCAAAATGAGTTGTCGAAAGCATTCTGATTGATTCTCACCTAGCCTATCACAAAAGTCTGCTGCAGCTGCAGCCAACTTTTCCCGCGTTCTTTCATCGCGAGCTGCGCAATTTGTGTACGGCTCTGACGCGTCAATGATCTCGCACGCTTGCAATACCTTCTCGAGCTGTAAAAAAAGAGTAATTAAAATGACACAACGATGTTAAAGGAAATCCTTTGAGGTATTGATGACGAAGATTTTATAAAATACACAATTATGCCTGTCCGATACTGCTGGACTACACCTCGCCACCTCATCTAGGAGGGCACAAATATATCCGCTGTTCGTTTTTTTAGTACAAATGCTGTTCTCAAGTGTAGCTTTTTATCGTTCCATTGCTTTCTCCGTGGTGCTCTTATTGACTGTGCACACCACTGAGTGTACAGAAATGAATAAATAAATAAATGAAATGAAATAGCTAGATTGGAACAAATATTGGAATTGAAAACATTGAGAGGGAAAGTATCGTCGCCTATGACGACAATTACAACCATCTCTACCCTCGTTGTGATCACCGTCTCGCGTTAAAACTTACACTATTACTTGGGTGCGGGGTTAAGCGGGCCCGCCAAAAAGTGTGGTCCGCACTCCACATTTAACAACAAGGAGGAAACATACTGGTTTAACAACACTAGCAAATACTTCAACAAGTAATCCTTTTGCACGATTTTCACAAATTCCTAGAACCGCTTGGACATGAACCCCAGAAATGTGTTCTTTCGAGCACCTGACCCTGCATAGCAAATCAATCTGGCCCACCCTTGAAATTCACATATCGACAACTGACTAACGTCAGTTCCCCATTATACGCTCTCTTAGCATCACATTCGTAGCTTGGCAGTGCTGACCATAAAGCTATAAACGCCACGTCATGAAAAGCCACTTGGCTTTACAAACAACCATCATGCGAATGTATCATGGAAAACGAACATCATTTTCCGACCTTTTCCTCGACAGCACTCAAAAAACTCGGACTAGTCAACTTCAATGTCACTGAAAATCTTTCCAGCGACACTTTTTGCAAAAGGCATCACCACAAATTATCACCTTCTTTATCAACCATTATACTGACAACGTGCAGAAGAAATAGAGTAATTTCTAAACCGCAACAATCACTATGGACTCTCCATGGGGGCTCATGCCCCTTGGGGGGGGGGGGGGGAAATCACAAAGGGACCACTTGAACTATGCTCA